TTTCATTTGTAGTTTATTATTCTGTAACAGGAAGTCCTAAGGATGGTTCAAGAAAATGAAGAATATTTACTCTATCAAATTGGGTAACTGACGCTTTTCATCCCTTCGGACTGACAACTTCTTCCTGTAAAATCCATTATTTAACAAACGTGTGATGAGAATACTCAAACTCATCAGTAAGAAATCGTTGTCTCTATACAACACCAAATTCTCTTTACTAATTTACAAGGAAATGTGTCGCAGCTAGTGGGGGGAATTCACAATTAGATCTTGCGAGTTTGAGGACTTGAAAGTTATCTCGTCGAGCCATTTAAAGGGTTGAAATATTGGTTCGAAATGGAAAAATGCTTCTATAAAGTTTATTTATCAGAGATTCTCAACCTTGGTGAAACTATTTGCGATATAGTTAATGAAAGTTTGTACTGTGGCTTTGTAAGAGGATTCCATTTCAATTCCCGCTGGCAATCTGTCAGGAGCTATGAGTATTGTCTGCCTAGAATTAATAATCTAATCAAACCTCCTTAATACATGTCAAAGAGTACGACATATGTTTGCCTTTGTTGAAATGTACAAAAAAAAAACAAGAGGAAGATAATTTTAAAAACCTATTCCCAATGTTTACTTTCAAACAACGAAATTCTACTATTCTGTAATTTCTTTCTGTCTTTCCTTCTTTCCCTTTTCTTTTCGTATTTTTCTAAACAATTTGCTATCTCATTTAAGCAAATTATAAATGCTATGCTGTGCCAAAGCTATTTGAATTTTTATGGCCTTTAATAATTAATAACATACCCGCTGCTAAGACACACTATTTACATAATATGTTTTAAATCCCCAAGAAACCATCTGGAAGGTTGATAATCAAGAGACTGATGTTTCAACCGATGTAAATCTGTTATCACGAGCCGACCACGAAAGGTACGAAGTTGATGCAATCCACATAGTTTTTACAAGTTAAAACAGCTATTATTCTTTTAAATGCAACCGTGCTGTGTGTGACAAACGTTCAAATGGCATTGTAGGGTATCTTCATGTTCTTCCGCTGTGAAAAAATTATGTTCCTTTTTAAGATTACTATCTGTCTGCACATTTTGTAAGTCTTGGACAAACAACAAATGCTTTAACCTGGTCCACCTTGTTCTAAACTGTGCCTTAAATAGTTTTTTTTTTCTTAACAGCCTACCTTTTCGCTGTTGAGCTGAAAGGCACACAGCAGTAAAGTTAAACAAATCAGCAGGTTGTATTTATATTGCGGCATTACAAGCTATCTTTTTCTTCAAAATTACGACGGTTTTGCTTAACACAGCCGATATTGCTCGCAGAATTGGAATTAAATCTGCCTGTATGTCTCGCCCTGTCATACCAAAGGGTGTGGCCACCATTCCTTGTGTTTGTGGATTGAGGTGTTGAACTTTTTTGGGGTAAAAGAGAGTTACTGCAAAGACAGGAATGCTTCAAAACACGTCTAGGTAGCAACACGGTGCAAAATTTTTTCAAACAAAAAGTTTTTAAAAGGTTATGCCATTTAGGCTAAGAAGCCATCGTCACGATTGGCCAGGCGAAATAGTATCAAATCTCGTTTCCTAAACAAATTGATTTGAAGAAATTTGGAAAAATGATATTTCTCTCAGCAGATATGTTAATCTGGTTTCAAGTCTCTCCGAGCAATCATAATGTTTAATTGATTCCAACTGTTAATTAAACCGAAATTTTTGCCCAAAGCCCGTTAACGAAGTCAGTTGGGTGACAAGGGTATCGAGTTGTTGGGTGAAGTCAGAATAGGGGATTGAAAAGGCGGTGAATCTGTAGATTAAACATATCACATCGAAGCTAGCCTTTTTTAAAAGCCGCCAAAAGGGAACGAACGCAAACAAAATATTTGCTTATCGAGTTTCCACAGGATCTGGTGGTTGCAAAAGTATTTAATGTACTACATGTTCCATTGGGGAGTTAACCCAAGGTGGGTGGGAAACAAGGACTTGGTTGAGCTATTCAATAATCAATTAAATCAAGATCTCTTCGTAGTTATGCCTCGTAGCACCAGTGTTTAGAAATTACATTGTATGACCTAGTTAACTGAAGCCTTAAATCATGTAGATTTCACCTTGGAGATAATACTACTTCCAGTAAAAGAGAACTACTTGTATTTCAGCCTGCTATACATAAGGTGAACTTTTGGTGAGCTATTTTACTAGTGCGCTGCGGTTTTTTAAGTGTCTCACCACTTTAACCTGTTTTACCGCATTCGCTGGGAAAGTCTGTCGGAGATTATCGCTTAATTTTTATTCTTATTTATTTATTTATCTATATTTACGCTTCACTTTTATCAGTTTTGCGTTACATTTTCTTTTTACCCATTTCAACTTCTTACGATTTTTTCATCCATCTGTCTTTCTCTTAATTTTTCTTTTTTTTTTAATCTCTGAGGCTTTCTTCTTCAAAACTGAGGAGAGCTGTTCTTGTTGCCGAGGTTAAGAAAATCGAGCTAGAAATGTTTGCCATGAACATGTCAACATATATCTAGGGTTAAAATGTAAAATTTTTCTCCTTGTTGATCTGGGTGATTAAGCTTTTCTCCCTTACGGAAGAGTTGCTCAGCTGAAATCTCCTCTTGGTTACCTTCTCACACGAAGAAGTGACAAAATTCGTGCAGTGAGCTAACGGGAAAAGACAGGTCACTGGTTCGATGGAGAGAGGCCCCTTAATGTGAGTTAAATAACCGTCGTTTTAGAATTAATTTCTTTACCGAAATTTCCGGGCTTTATTTTATTACGGTTGAAAGATATATATCACTGTAAGAATCAATCTAATTTGTTTCCCTCGACGATGCAGTGGTGTAACAGAATCGTAAACAAAGATTGGGGACTGAGTTTCGCTGTGCCATTGTCAACAAGAAATTGTGTATATATTTCACAAAGCTACCATTCCTCAAGTTTGACGATGATATTTGTTGATCGGGGTATTTGTTTATTTACTACTTGCTCTCCTACAATTGTACTTCTTGTCATGTATCATGTTGGTTTGTACTCCAAAAAAACAGGTAGACTATTGGTATTGAAGCTTTTTTTCGATGTGGAGGAAGTTCGAGGAAGAACGAAACTGTTATTAAGAGTGTTTTAAATTAATTTTTGGGAACCGAACCGGCTGCAAAAAGTGATATTTTAACATTTGCCGCACTGTCTCCTGGTTTCCAAATTTTTCCTCATATGTGGCTGATAAAAGTGAAAAAGAAGGCACCAATGAAGAACGAAGAAAATATACAGGTAATATCAAAAACAAAAGAAATAAAATAAGAAAATTACTGAACAGGGATGAATTTACATCGAATTATCCCTCATTGATTAGTTTCAATTGAATGGTGAATAGAATAGTGCAACGTAACATAAAAGAATAAATTGTCTGATTATGAACTGTTCTATTCCCGGCTTGGTCCCTCAAAATGCTGCTGGATGAGACATTGATTAAGAAACCTATAAGACATCTCTTCAGTCAAACTCATGTGTCTGTTGATGTGGAATAAGTTTCGTTTTTCCTTCTTTTACTTCGCAGTTTTTAAGTTTTGAAAATTAAAAGACTATGGTAGCTTGGCCGGAGTACAAAAGAATTATTAAATTTTCATTTCTTTCGCAGCAGTCATCAGACAAAACGCATTAAGTTTTAACAGGCAAACAATCAGATCATCACCCGGTATTATATATAATCCAAAAAAGTGGGGGGCTGCAAGAAAACACGGTAATCATTCGTAAGGAACTGAACTCGCTGGGTATATGTTACCCTTCACTGTGATCAGCTTCCCTTTGTGGTAAGCTAAATGTAGAAGTTCATTTACCTAGCCGTAAATAACTGCAGCTAGTTTTTTCTTTCCATTTCATCTCTACATAAAACAAAAAATGGTATTTGTTATGGAAACTAGTGTTTACGTTTTTCTGAAAACAACCGTATCGAACGGGGGCTTACCAAATTTTTATCTAGCTTCCTTACACATACCTTCGTTCATTGCAGACTTATGAGAAATATACATTGCATTTGATGGGCAGATTTTTCTTTTTTTTTTGTTTACAATGTTTACAGTGCTACATTACCTACGTTAATAGTACGTAAAATACTAACATTACTTACAGAATGATTATTTATTCTTTCTCTTTTAACGATACATTATCACATGTCACAATACGTTCCATTACGTAATAACAGATTGCAATACACTACCCAACAGTATGCAAAAATGTCATGACACAACGTCTACTTTGCTTTAGAAAGCTGGAGGCAACAAAACAAACAAAAGGGAAAAAAACAAAAACAAAAACATAAAGAGATAAAAACTAAACCTCTAGGAAAAAAAATTTAGTTTTTTTGTAACTATTAGCAAAGGAGGTTAATGTATCTCATCTACTTTCCCTCCTTATTGATTATCTTGAACAATTGTTGCCAAAGTTTAACCTCAGAATTTCCTTTGCTCTACTGGGTTATATGCTTTGTAGCCATGCAACAGTGTCAAATGTGTTGTGCACATTCAATTGCAAAGCAGTATGAGGCGGCGCAATTGTATTACGTAATTGAATTCTTAGCTTGTTTATGATTTGTGTAAAAATGCGAAGAGTTAATTGAGTACGGAATGAAATAGCGATATAGAAAAATTTACAGGATGAAAAAAAGGTGAAATACCATCGTTCTCAGCTGAAGAGAGGGTGTCGTAAATCTAGGGCTGATTTCAACGTCTTCGATATAAACATGTTATCATCGAACCAAGGGACTTATCTTGTTTTTATGAACACGGAAGAATGATATTTTTTACCGCTCTGTTACTTGAATTGAGAGAATCATTCAGTTTTTAAATTTATCTACAATCAAAATGCAGATGTTAGCGTCCCACTATGGTTTATTTATGGTTTACGTTATAGTAAAGGCACACACAATATCGAAATTGGCCGACCAGTTATGTCTTTTAGAGAGTCTTCGCTGCTTTGTGATTAATGTTCCATTAAAATGACACATAATGC